TTGGAAAATTATGAATTTCGGGTGTTAGTAAACGAGCTTCTTAACAAGCTTGAGTCGAGCTTAAACTTATTTAGGCACATCAAATGACAAACAAGCTGATCCCGAGCCCAACCCGAGCTTGTATAATTCTTTACTAGCCTGAGTCGATCTAAGTAAAAGAAATCTCGAATCAAGCCGAGCTCGAGCTCGAGCCTTGTATAACTTAAACGAGCCTGACCAGGCTCGGGATCGACTCGGCTCGTTTGCACCCCTATTGGAAAATGTCGTCAGGCATGTTATCTAGGAGTGGGAAATATTGGCCTTCCGGAATTGGGTTGTTATCCGAACTAACATAACAATCTCCTTCTTCTTCACAATGCTAAACACCGAACTCGGATGAATTCATTCTCAATTTTTGAATGTTGTAATGTATCACGTTTTAGATGTAAGTTAGTTGCATATTAATAGTATGAGACCAACATAAAATTACTATTTGAAAGAACAATTTTACTGTTCGAAATGACAAAACATTATGCACACTAGAAACTAGTAGTCAAAATTTATGAAATCATTGTGAAATAATGTGAATGAGTAGTCAAATTGGAGTATAAATTACATAAAAATATTGTTTGAATTTTACAATAACTATATATTTTAGATGCTATTATTTGTTAAACAAGAGTAAATGTTGCAGTGCAATTTCTTTAAATTTTACCACCTAATGCTTAGTAAATATTGTTTGATTTAAACCACCTAATGTAATATAAACAGTATGATTTTGTAAAATGGAAATGTTCATTACCAACTACAATAACGCTTACAAACGTAAACAATTACGATTTCAAATATTATATGCTTTCATAGGGATTAAAACCACAATCTTAGGTTACTCCACATTGATTTAAAAAGATAAGTAGTAGCAAATAATAGTCAAATAGGAGTACATAGGGATTAAAACAACCATCAACGGCTCTGGTATTTCCCATTAAGATGCAGGGGGAACAACATTCACATTTCTATTTTGGTATGTAGTTCGAAACACATCAGCCCGATGATATATTTGAACCATATCGGTTAATTTCGTGTTGTTTTTATAACGTGCTGTAGCAATAGCATGACCACATGTTATACCTAGACTGCACTATTTCCCACAAGAGCATGTGTGTCGATTAAGATCTACAACACATCTTATTTATAGATCAAAAACTCGGAAAATATCAGAGGGGAACGGAGATGGGATCTCAGGTGGGATTTTAGTTAATTTCCAACGTAGAGACTTTTGCATCCTCCTGTGAATGACCATCTCTGCATAAAGGGTGAATACGGGGTTCAACATCCCTGAAAAGTAAAAGGATAGTCAATTATGGATATTTTAATGGTTTATAAAAACTTGCTAAATTACCTCCCACAACATTGCATTCTGCAGACATCTGTTGGATGTACTGAACAATTGCATCAATTAGCATTATTATCGGTACATTGCGTTGAGTAACTGACAAACACCAATGGGAATTCTGGAATATTAATGTTTAGTACATTCCAATGTATATTAGGGAAATAGGCATGTGCCCATTTTGTTTTTCCGATGTTGGCAAGAACCTCACGTGCATCATGACGTAACTTAGAAAATGGTTTTTGAAAATCTTGCGTGGTATATGCTTTGCATGCACAGAAGAACAAGTAGTCTAAATTTGTGCTTTGACCAATTCTTAAGCTACAATAAATCAACACACTCTTAGATGAATAACCATGATAAGCATCAGGGAATACCTGACCCACAAAAGAAGAAACGATATCGTCTATATTGATTATGAACGCAACTTCCCTCCCCTCTCCGATAGCATCCTTCAACTTCATAAGGATCCAACTGCAGGAGTTAACATTATTTGCCACCCCGATACCAAATGTTATTGGCGTAGTGTTGTTGTTTCCATCCATAACAATCGCTATGAACATTGAATAAGATACTCTCCTCGAATACGAACAGTGCCTATGAAGATAACGGGAAGCATGCATCCTAAGAATGTGTTGATCTATTTCATATATTGTACAACATGATTATTAGTTTTTAAACTAATATAAATCTTTTTTGCACAAAAAATAAACAAATGGAAAGTACATTACCACACATCGAATAGCGACAAAACATAGTTGGAACCGATCCAAAACATCGGTTTTGATGTAAGTGTAACTATGGGGATTTCTACGCTGAATGTTGTGGAGGTAAACAAGCAAGTTGGTAAAGCTTTCTTCATGGTCATTGTATGAGAAACTCATCTTTAATGTTGACGAGTTAAACATGAATTTAGCGATAAGGATGATTTAAATCACTTCAAAAGCAATTAAAAGAAATAAAGTAGTAGTCAAATGCTTGTAGATAGTAGTCAACACATATACCACAGTAGTCCAATTACAACCATGTGTCCGAAATTCATTGTACGATAAGACAACACTTAAAGTAGTAGTCAAATGCTAGTAGACAGTAGTGAATGCCTATAATGCAGTAGTCCAACTATAATCATGTGTTTGAAATTCACCGTAGGATAAGACAACACTTAAAGTAGTAGTCAAATGCTAGTAGACAATAGTCAATGCCTATAATACAGTAGTTAAATTAAAATCATGTGTCCGAAATTCATTGTACGATAAGACAACACATAAAGTAGTAGTCAAATGCTAATAGACAGTAGTCAATACCTATAAAATAGTAGTCTAATGGCAGTATACAATTTAAGATATTTACGTTTCCACACTAATAAAAATTTACTTATCATAAACCAAAGAAATGACAATTTGCATTTGTGGGGCTCAAGGTATTATAAGGATCTCAAGAACTACCAACAACCATGGATTGTTATTTTACGCTTGTCATAAAGAGGTATTTGGGTTATCCTTTAATTATTTATATTATAATTTATTATTGAATATTTACACAGTATACATAATGTTTTTGATATTTATTTATGAGCCATCACAATCTGAGTTTATTTGTTGGGTGGATGAAGCAAGAGACAATAATTTGTTGATAATTTCTAACTTAGCTCGATCGAAGAAAAAGCTACAAAGCAAAATACTGCACTTGAAGATAGCATTACTTTGTAGTTGGATTTTGTTTTTTGGTGATGTTGTGTACAAGTTGTAAGCTAAATGTCCATCAAGTAACTTTATGTAGCACTTATCGGTTACTCTGTAAAATGTAATGTATGTTATTTATTTGCAATGATTTATGTTTCCATCTATGATAATTTGTTGTGCTATCATTTTCATACTTTATCATAAAATGGAAACATGGAATTATAACATATATACAATCGTTAAAATTCCGTAGAAACATTTTTTTTTTGAAGAAAAATGAACAAAATATATATAAAACCGTAGGTTTTAGGAAACATATAATTTTATACAAACCTACGGTTTCATTTTTTTCCAAAAAAAATCACAGAATCGAGAATATATACAAGTGTTTATTGGTTATAAACTTTTACGGTTTCACATTTTTTCTTTGAGTTTTTTGAAAAAAAAATCATGAAATAATACAATTCCTTACATGTTGCATCGAATTAAAAAAAAAACAAAAAAAAATTGTATGATTCATACGAAACCGTAGATGTACAAGTCGACATTGCACAATCTGTGCATTGCGCACTTGTACACCGTAGGTTTCTACGGGGGTGTTTTTTTTCGGTTTTTTTCAAAAAAAAAAAAAAACTTAACCTCGTATACAAAAACTACTCCTAATCAAGAACACGGTAAAATTTTGATGAAAAGTAGACAAACTTCGTTGTTCTTTGGGTACTCCGTGGAGAGAAAAAGTAGGCAAATCAACAAAACGATAGTGAAAAATATCGTAATCTGAAAATATTAGCATTATATACTTTGGACTAATGGACCACGAAAAAAGTAAATGGATCGTGAAACTGTAGTCCATTACCACAAAATAGTAAATTTCAAGTGTTGACCGTAGTCAACGTCCATTGACCGTAATCAACTGTATCTAAACTACTCTTTTGTAGGTTAGCTTTGGTTAATATATATTTTTTTTTTTTGCCATTTTTAGATAAATAATTAAGGATTTTTGCTAGATTTGTATTTAATGTAAATATAATTGGTTATTAATGTAACCCAAGATAATAATAGATTTATATCATACATCCCGTTACAAATCCGCCAATCCTAATACAATGTCATGAACTGCCTTAAAATATAAGTTTCTTTATTTGCCTGGAGAAAATAAATCCAAACAATATTTTAAGATTACAAAAGGAAAGAAGATTACACTTAACGCTTTCGAACTCTTTTAATCATAATATCATCTTTTCACCTTTTTCATTAAAATATCTACGTCAGTTTTTTTTATTAAAATTCATAAAAGTGTTGAGCAAGTTATTTATATACATATTTAAAGCATAACATGAACAGTAAATTTATAGCTTTTTTATTTTTTATTTTTTATTTTTATTTATTTATTTATTTATTTTGTTTTATTTTTTTTTTACTCTTTTGCCTCAAATGTTTTATCTGTTGCCATTTTTTCTAAGTTTTTGCTTTAAACCATTCTCATTTCTTTTATTTTACACAAAAGATCCTTAGGTTTTGTTGAATCCGACTTTTTTGGTCTATTTTTGTTTTTTGATATATATTAAAGTTTTTTTTTGCAGTGTTTCGCATGAGAGAGAATTGATTTATTTTCCATAAATGATCTTTAGTTTTGCTGAATCTTTTTTTTGGATTTTGAACAAAGCCCGAATCACCTACTAGTTGATTTAAAACCTCACAGCTCGAAATATCAATAAGGTTTTACACCGTGGAATATATGTTATATTTAAAACAAAACTTCAAGCCAATGCACTAAATCCATAATCTCCCTTAACTTTTGACAGTTTTACCACACGTAGCAGCCCTAGTCAGAAACCTCCTGCCACGTGCGCTCCACGTGCCGTCTCTACAGCCCCTCCATCCATGCAAGCTACACTTATATCCCAATCAATTCACTCCATCAACATCATCGATACACAACGTAAATGGCACCGAAGAAGAAATCCGCAAGTACATTGGTGAAAACCACCAAGAAAACCATACAAGAAACAGTTCAAGTTTCTGTGGTTGATCAAACCACCAAAAAACCAGTCACGAGAGGCCTTTCATCTAAAGAAAAAGTCGAAATCATCACTGTAAAAACCCCAATAGAGAAAGAAACCCTAGAAGATGATGATACTCAGTTAGAAGAACTAGAAGATGGAGATGAAGATATTGTAAATGATGCAGTAACAAGAGAAATCAAAGTTCAAGATGCCACTCCGACCCCAGAAAAAAAGGAACAGCCCAAGAAAACCACCACCCGTGAGGGCGGTGGGAGGAAGAAGGCGGAGGAGAATATTGAGGGTAAGAAGAAGAGGAAAAGGAGGAAGGTGGGGGAGAGTGGTGGTGAAGGGTATAAGAGGTACCTGTTTAGGGTGTTGAAGCAGGTGCATCCTGATTTAGCGATATCGTCGAAGGCTATGACGATTATCAGCAATTTAATGGCGGATATGTTTGAAAGGCTGGCGGAGGATGCGGCTCGGTTGTCGGATTATAGCAAGAAGGCGACAATGACGGCGAGGGAGATTCAAGGGGCGGTGAAATTGGTGGTGCCGGGAGAGCTTGGGAAGCATGCAGTTGCAGAGGGGACTAAGGCTGTCACCAGCTACATGTCTTACGGCGGCGGTGGTCGTGGTCGTGGTCGTGGCGGTGGTCGGGAGTCCGAGTCTCAAACTTTTTAGGATTGTGTAGTAGGTTAATTTGACTTTTTAGTTTTTAGTTGTAGAATCTTGTTGTCATCGAAGTAGCTGTAGCTAGTAGGACCTGTGTTTACATTTGTGTAAATTTCTTGCTAACCTTTATGCTTTACTAAAACTTTGGGACGTCGTATAATTATTCCAGCAAAACAACAAAATTCATAAAGATTATAGCAACAGAAAGGGACAGAAACATCCAAAATGCATTGAAATTCGAACAAAACATGATAGAAAACAGCGTAAATATTCCAGCAAAGCAACAACAAAATTCCAAAAAAAACAATGACTTATAAACCCAATAAAGTTCTAACATTTTGTCTAAAAAAAACCCAAGCACAACTAACTTACACTTTATTCACTTCAATGGATCAACCGGATATGGCTTATGACGTGTAATTAAAATGACTTGTAAGATCTTATTCACTTTATTCACTTCTCATTTAGGGTCAAGGAATGACATGGCTTATGATGAAGTCAAGGAATGACATAAGCTGATATGTAATTAAATATCGAAAAATAACTTGTAAGACAAGTTTCAAATCCGTTCAAAAAACCCCAATCATAAAACCGTTTAACCTCATATTCGTAAAAATCAACAAAATAACAAAAGAGGAAGCATTACAAGTTATAAATTGGGTCGGCTCTTCGTCTTCTAAAAAATTATCATCATTCCAATTTGGATGCTAATTAATGACCTATGTCCCAAATCCAAAGAAGGACCAACCTAGATACGTGCGTGGGGGCTGACCCGAAGTTGGGATCCGAGCTTTAACGACCAACAACAAATGACAAGATAGGAGGTATTGTACGCTAGTCATTTCGACAGTCAATCCTATCCTATCACTGTACTATTACCTGTCAGATCTTACTTAGAAAATTCCTATTTAACAAGGATAGGAGTTTCTACCGGGTATGCACAAAAGACACTCAACTCTTTAGATACATATTTTCAATTAGCTAAATCGTTTAACAAATACGTCATTTACTTACTTCGCCATCAGGTCTCAGGACACTCGTCCGAGGTCGCTCTAACCTTTTCTTTGTTGCAGCCAACTTACTGAGACCAAACTAATCTCTACGACCCTCTAAACCTAACTTGAAGAAGGCCAGGTGCAACATTTGGCACCATCCATGGGACCTTTTACGAAAAGCTATGATGGAGTCAATAGTCACCCTCGCCGAGAACAACCCTATCAGACAAATGCAAACTCTTTAAGATGGCAACGCTTGACCAATCACTAAAAACATTGAAATCAATGTCGATAATCCAGAGAAAGACACAAATTTGAAGATTGTCAAAGGTATCTCTAGATGAAAGCAGATAGGAAGTTGATGGAAGAAGAAGAAAAAGAGTGTATATTTGTTCACACCACCGACTCAAATACTTCTATGGAAGAAGAAAGGATAAGTGAAAAACGCAAAAAAGGAAGAAAGTGGGTGGAAGAGGATCAATGAGGACCAAGATGAAAATCATGAAACCTAAGAAGAAACAAGGGCAGACCGACTCGTCAGACGAATAATTCCCGAACTACCATGAAGAGTTTGAATCCCTAAACTGCAAATCGCCCTTTTCTAACGAGATTAACAAACCCCGCATTCCAAAGAGACTAAAAAAGGAGACTAAAAAGACCAACAGTAGGACGATATGACGGGACCACTGATCCAGATGACCACATATCAAGCTTTACATGGACCATTAGAACCATCTCAATGAACTGGAACCTATGGTGTATCTTCTTTGCAGGGACTCTAGAAGGATCGGTAAGATATTGACTAGAAAGTTTCCCACCCAAAATCATACCCAATTACGAAGATTTGTGCAAAAAATTCACAACTAGCTTCATACAGAAGCGACAATTCAACAGGAGGCCCAATGCATATTTGCATGGAGGCAACGAGAGGGAGAATCTAACACTACATACCTTGAAAGGTTCACCAAAGCCTGTACGTGAGTTCCAATTCGGAACAATCCTATGATAAACGCCACCTTTACGCATGGCCTATAGAATGGCTCGTCGTTCAAAAGGTTGCAGGGTCGGGAGTTCAAGAGTAGAGAAGAACTATTAGAAAAAGTCAATCGGTTCATCCGGATGAAAAGTGTGGGCCTGGAGAAGAACTTACTGGATGGGAAGTTTACCCGGAGATCACACCACCTAGAAAGAGGCAGCTACTATTCATCTCAAGGTTCACCAAAGCCACCCAGGTTGTGGCTAAGCAGAAGGTAGCTGGGAATAAGCCCAAGGCCATAATCTAAGATATATGCGACAAGTGAAAAGAAGCAAAATACTTCCACTAAAGAATGGATGAAATGAAGGTACCCAAGAGACCCGGACCAATATTGTGAGTTTCAAAAATGTTAATGACATTCAACCAAAAGTTACAACGGATTCAGAAAAGAGAATGAGCGAAGCGAAGAATTTGGATGGAGAGATAACGACCACAAGAAAAAAACTACCTTGAAATACTCATGATAATGGGTTGGCACGAAGAGACAAGAAGAGGAAACCACTCCATAATTAAGAGAAATGACGTAGAATTCGGAGACGAGGACCCATTCATAGAGTCATACCGGGGCGACCCCTGGTCGTCTATGAGTGGATCGGAAGCACTCCAGGCGATACGATCCAAAATAAAAACTAACTACAATTTAGTATTGCGCAATGTCCAAACCGACCTCAGGGTCGATTATAGGCGATACGACCCAAGATAAAAACTATGTACAACTAAGTAGCATGCAATATCCAAACCAACCTTAGGTTCGACTCTACGTGATATGATCCAAAATAAAAACTACGTACAACTTGGTACCGTGCAATATCCAAACTATCCTCAGGTTCAACTCTAGGTGATACGACCCAAAATAAAAACTAAGTACAACTTAGTACCGCGCAATGTCTAAACCGACCTCAAGGTCGACGCCAGGCAATATAGTCCAAAAATAAAACCTAAGCATAATTTAGTATTACACAATTTATAAATCATTCTCGAGGTCGACCCAAGGAAACACAAAAGGACAAGTTCGGATGACTTGACCCCAAACTAGGACTAGAAACAAGAATAAAGGCAACATGGCCAAATAACCATATCTCAAATATGATAACTCATTACGTTATAAACAATTTGATTCAAGATCGCGTAGTAGATGAACTAATTTAAGGCCTTCAAAAAATCACCACGACAAAAAACCTAACACAAATAGACAAATCTTCACCATGAACACCTTCATACACCTGACCTCCCGCTCGGATCACCAACCAGCTCCACTAGGCCTCGAGACTGAACCAACTCCTTCAAATCTACCACACTTACATGACCCTCATTCAAATCTTTTAGAAAATAATCCTTCTTGGTCAGCAGTGCCTTAAAGCAATTATGAGTCATACTCAGGGCATCCGGATAAACATATACCGAAACTGCAGAGTCCACATGGGAAATATACTTGCTCATCTCCATGCAACCCTTATGTAAATTGTACTAAGCGTGAGCGGATTGAACCTTAACATTACTTTGTCCATACTATAAAGAACACAGAGATGAATCAGAGACACGAAAATAACTTTTTTCATCAACCACTAAACCTCAAACAAGTTGTGTTCGAGAAGACGAAGGCGCCTTTCAAGGTCTTCCGATAGGACAAATTTGTCACTCTCTAATTAGATCAACCGACCATCAGCTTCCAAAACGACAATCTGAAGATGTTGTACTTGACTGCACAATTCACTCACCTTAGCCTTGAAAGAAAATGAGCTAACCTTAGCATCAACCAACTTGTGCCCCAACAAATACTCTGTTTTCTCTTTCTCTTCCATCAATTGTTGAAGATCTTCCACCAATTTATGAACCAGGCTTTGATTTTCTTATTCCAATAAACTCATCTTTTACTCCAAAATTGCCACCTTCCCACGACTCAAGTTCACACAAGTTACTTCTTGCTCCAAAGATAGTTTATCGGCTATCAATTAATGGTTCTCAACCTTGACTTCAGCCAGTTTGCGGTGAAGATTAAAGTTATTGGATTCCAGAGACTGCACATGGAGAAGATTCACTTTCAACTGGTTGGAAAAAGAATAAATCTTGGATTCAGTGGATGATTTTTTCTCCAAACAATGTAATATCTCATCAATGGAAGCCCTAATTTGTGACAGATCTTCATTTAACCTCTTCTACAATGTGACATTAGACATGTCCTTTAAAAGAATCACCTTGTTCTCTGGTGATGCAACAAGACCAAAAAAATCCATAGTTTGATTTAGGGGAGAATCAACACTCTTTATAATATGATGGGAAAGACTCGGATCTAGAAAAATGGTCTGGTTGTGACAAACTACTTGCTAAGATAGGATGGTTGTTCTTATGAGGGTTGCCTGCAGGAGGGTCAACAGATTTAAGCACAAGCATTTGTTTATTAGAAAAAGGATCTGAGAAATCATCTGGTAATTAATGTGACAAAGTAGGGCCATAATCTTTCGAATAAGAGCCAGGTAAACCATAAGTAAACTCAGCATCAGAAAGACGAATATCGACAAAAGGGAAATGGAATCAATCAGATAAGCCAAAAATAAAGTCGTCGACAACATTACCAGAAGAATTCGAAAACACCAAAGTGATTGAAACCTTGAATGTTGTCGAAGATAAGTTTGAATTAATAAATGTAACATCTACCATATAGGATTTTACATTCATATTAAGCTTAGATTGAGTCAAAGGCATTGGAGGAATAACTTTAGGGCCTACCACTACTTTGGGAAGAGTCTGAATCTTCTTGGAAGGTCCACGGGAAGGTCCTTTGGTGAAATCCCTTACTTTGCATCTCTGTCTAAATGTATCAGAGGAAGCGTCGTCCTCTGGAAGGAGTATGGGACAAAGACTCTCAATTCAAAATGACTTCAGCCCCAATGGTGTAACACCGTGAAAATTTATAACCAATTTAAACTTTTTCAAAAACAACCCATATTCATTAAGTTATTACAAAAGGTTTTCAGTTC